TGCATTACTCATATCTGTGATTCGAATCTTATTTAATTTACAAGGCCTGCATCTTTAGCTATACCGTAGAATAAGCTTCCCGAATTACGGAGTAACACTTCTGGAGAATCGTATTCCATAATGAGTCCATTATCCAAGACAATGACCCTGCAAAATATTACTTATTCAATATAAATCGATGTTTTAAAATAATCTTACAATCCTGTGAAACTTACCTGTCTGAATCAAGAATTGTATTAAACCTGTGAGCTATCGTGAGAACCGTACAATCTTTAAATTCTCGTCTAATTGTTGTTTGTATTAAGTCATCAGTTTCGAGATCAACTGAAGCTGTCGCTTCATCAAGAATTAATACTTTTGTTTTCCGAAGTAAAGCTCTTGCCAAACATATCAATTGCCGTTGACCTATACTTAAATTCTCCCCACCTTCGGTTACTTCGTGCAGAAGACCACTTGCCAAATCTGAAACATAACATTGTACATTATTCATATATTTCTAAATGTTGTTACAACCAAAATATAAAATCTTTTGTTACGTTTAAAAATATTACATTTTAATCGTATAGAAAGCAATAGAAATAATGCAACCGCCAGTCTTATTTGTAGATGGTACAATAATGAATTTTTAAATAGATGTATCAAAGCACGCGATAAAAATACTTTTCACAAAATGTCATGTCCAATTTATAGATTGACTGTTGTAAACTATTATATTTATTATTTATTATGGAATTTAGAATTACTTTCAACGAAAGATTTCAAATGCGCATGTTCCAATGCTCTCCAGACTTCGTCATCGGAGTGTTGGTTAAAAGGATCTAGATTCATTCTCAAAGTTCCAGAAAATAATATAGGATCTTGCGGTATGATCGTCAATCTAGATCTTAAATCGTGAAGACCCAACTTGGCAATATCAATGTCGTCGATGGAAATCTGTCCGCCAGCAGCTTCAATTATTCTGAATAAAGCCAATGTCAGAGAAGACTTGCCGGCACCGGTTCTACCGACAATACCAACTTTCTCTCCTCCATTAACGGAGAATGATAATCCACGCAATACGAGATCCAGGCCTTCCCTGTAACGAACTTTATAATCTTTGAATTCAACGCGTCCTTGGATAGGCCATTCTTTAGATAACGCGTAATTAGGATTTTTCCAAGGCGCCTCTTGAGGTGTTTCCGTGTATTCCTTTATTCTTTCTACTGCTACTATATTTGTTTCAACGTCAGAAGTCATTCTTACCAACCAATTTAATGTTTGAGTGACCTAAATAGAGAGGCAGTATTTATTTATCATAATCCATTATGGAAGTATAATTATTATGTGAAATTGAAATACATGTAGTCTTACTTGCAAAGCATAACCGACTGATAGACCAACCATACCCGACTCCATACTATCTCTTTGTAATACAGCGAATAACGCGGAAAAGAATATGATTAAATTTCCCACCATTTCTAAACGCACTGCTAGCCATCTATAAAAAAAGAAAACATTAATAATATTTCATGTAAACATGTTTTCAGTTTTATTAATATTTAAAACGAACGTTATACCTGTTGGCAATTATGCTAGGATAATAACAGACTTGATTAAAATCTACTCTGCTTTCAGATTCATGAATAAACCGGTCTTGTACACCAAATGCCCTAATAATTTGTGCTCCTAATAAAAAAGTAAATTTTATGTGCGTTACAGGATATTAATATTTAAGAAATTATTAATATATATATATATATATATTTACATACCAGACACTGATTCACTGAAATGCGAATATATGGGAGATCTTGAAACAGATTCCAAACGTTTCAATTGCCTTGAACTAGCAACGTACAATCGTTGGACAAAGTAATAAATTGCACCTATCGGTACTATTACTGCTGTAAATACTGGTGTGCTAAAACTTATAACCACTAAAGTTGCTACGACCTGTAACGTAAAGGTATTGTTTGAACATGTGTACAATATTCTGTAAACATTTTTCTAGTTCAGAGTATAATTAATCTTATGCAACATTAAAAACGTAGAAATAAAAATATGTAAATGATCATATATACATAACATATACCCGTATATTCATGTATGCAATCATAAAATGATAATAACTGTGTAAAGAAAGAATTTAAAAATTAATGACCATGCAAATTGTTCGAAAAAGACATTTGTATCCATTTTTCTTTAACATCAATATGCGATTAAACATAAACAGTATTCTTTCTTTCCATCAATGTACTCTGTGATGATTGCTAATTTCAGCACCTTATAAAGGAATGTGTACTACACATAATTATGAATATATTAACTGGTATATACTTGCACAACCATTTTCCATCATTCATTGTAGACATATTTACCATATTTATGACATATTTTCCATTTATAATACATTGAACAATGTCTAAATTACTGGAACGGACACAATTATACACAATTACAGTTTACACAATATATCCCATGTACATAGTTCATTTAGAATTAAATATACATTTTCGTATAATTTAGCCTCAGTATTTAAAATTGATTAAAAGCAATAACAAAAATATGATAGCTATAAAACACATTGTATTAATCCACAAAATGATCAAATAAAGAAGTAACTGTGATATACTTAAACGAGAAACACTTAGACATTAAATTAATACAAACCTTTTGGTAAAATAGAAACATACTGAAGGTATGTAAATAATGAAGGAGATATGGGAAAGAAATAATAAAAACCAATCATAGTTTGGTTCAGGCATTTCCAACAATTACCTCGAACAAGCAATAGATGCTATCAGAAATTTGTTGAGGAAGAGATGTATCCAGTATGTCGACGTCTTTAGCAAACCTGGAGATAATACGACCAGTAGGAGTCGTATCAAAGAAGGTCAATGGAGAACGCATCACAGCACGCAGCATCACTATGTGCATCTGGCGAGCAGCCAGCCAGCAGCCCAGCTGCGGTGCCAAATCGCAGAAAAAACTCGCCATCGCTACAACATCAGACATGATTGGCTTTCATTGTAACTGTATTAGTAAAAATTTAGAATCTTAAGTATTCGAAACTGGTAACAAATATGTTGGAACTTTGGAAATCTGAAGCATTCGATAAACGTTTCTTCTCATGAAAACGTTTGTATACAAACGTTTTATTCGCTACAGTGAATTACTTTTGTCATAAAATTGAAATAGTTTACGATTTAGAAATACTATTGCGTACCACAAGTACTCACATGCGCTTCTAACGCGCATGAACAAGTAAAAGAGATTTAACAGATAAATTTGTAATATCAAAAATTAAAAGATGCTGTTCTGTCTCATGTTATGCGAGGGGGTGAAGTTTGCTGTGGATTATCATGCTAGGCACATATAATGGATGACACGTACATTAAGCTAGGCAGTTACATGTAAAAATTTAAGCGAATACATAAGAAATTTCCAAGCACAAGCAACATTGTCCATATAGACAAAAATTCATGGTATAATTGTGTCCATTACCTAATTATAATATTACAGTATTGTACAGTAGTTGTGCATGTAGATTGTTAGTGACTATATAT